ATAAATCAACAGATTTTTTTCAGACAGGCCGAAAAAAAAAAGCAGCAGATGTTTTTAACTCTGTTCAAATCAAGGAATTCAAATGAATAACATTAGAGAAATAAACTGAAATATTATCTAATTTAAAGGCTATATTTGCTTAATCTGAGAGACAATCGAAGATAAAACAATCAATGTATGTTGGAAGATAAACTTCTGTAAACCTGATATCACAGCCCAGTTAAGTCTTTGCTACTTACAAAATGGTTTCTGGATACCGCTCTTGAGACCTCAGTGACGTTTGAACCTCAGTGTGGTTATAGGAAATGCAGACGCCACAGGTTGTCCGGTTAGAACATGAGAAATCAGTCTGACACACACGCTCTCTTTGACATGCCGCTCATTTATTGTAAAGCATTATGTTTGTGGGGACATGAAGTGAAGATAAATGAAGATGAGTGTGTGTGGTTTCTACAATGACAGAAAAAGAATAAACAAGCATTAAATATATGCATAAATAATAAACAACATGATATAAAAACAATCGCAGTACCGACTACAAATTAGGGAGAACAACAACATAAAGTTTACAGGAGAACTATAATGTGCATGAGCGTACTCAGTCTCGAAGCTAAAACGATAAAGCAGAAGTCCAGAGAACCACGTTGAGGGGTGCAGTGGTCTTCTCTGTGTGATGCTGCTCACACAGAGGTCGGACCAAGGGTCTGAGGTCAGTGATAGGTGCAGATGGGGGGCGTTGTTAACAGGCATGGGCTGTTCAGGGACAGATGGAGTGATGGAAATTAGAGTGTCTTCACTGAAACTATGAAAGTAGGGGACCTTTTGCACACTACTGTTGTATTTGGTCGTCTTGTTTCCGGTTAAGTCTTTTTTTTTTTTTTTAGAGGAGAGCAATCACAGAGCTTGTTGCCTCAATAGCTGTGCAAATTCTAACGTAGCATATATCCATCCATTGTAGGTCAAATAAACAAGTCAATGAATAAGATGAAAATAATATGGCTAGGGGATGAAGGTAAGGTTTCAAGAGAAAGACAATCTCTCTTTTCAACTCTTTGAGGTCATTAAGGTCATAAAAGTTTCAAGAAACAATGAAACTGATCAGATCAAAGAGTGAGCTCCGTGATGAATTGTTAAAGAGAGTGTGTGTGTGTGTGTGTGTGTGTGTGTGTGTGTGTGTGTGTGTGTGTGTGTGTGTGTGTGTGTGTGTGTTGTAAATGTTTGTGCGTAAGTGTGTTTTCCCGTCTACTCCTCTGGGACAGTCACTGCAGCTCTGATCAGAAAGGTCCTTATGTCGGGTGGGGGTGCTGGAAGTCCCCTCTTGTGTGTGACGTGTGTGTGTGTGTGTGTGTGTGTGTGTGTGTGTGTGGCAGTCATCTGGCTTTTGAATGTTGTTCCCCTTGATCCATCTGTGACCATGACAGTACACTGTACACACTGGTGTGACTCAAGTTAGACCGTAAAGCCGCTCACATGTAGAAAAACAAAAGCTGTATTTTATCAGTAACCATAAATGGTGAATACCATTTTCCAAAATTGATTAGTTTTATAAAAGATGCAAAAGTATAAGAACTATGGGCAGAAATCATTCATATGTGGATTCTAGCATCAAACTCTAATTTAGTCTTTGCCTCTTTGCTGCAGAGCAAAAACAGGACTGTGGTTTGTTGGCTTTTTGCTCATTTACATCCAATTTTCCTCTGAAGTGAAGTATTTAAAGCTTTGATGTTGATATTACTCTAAGAAATATCTAACAGTTAGCATCCTATTTCATAATGACTAGTACATAAATCTTTTTTTTATTTTTTTTGCATGTCAGTAAACTGGTTCCAGCTTGCGAGTGAAGACCGCTAACATGGCAGAGATCAGAATAAAAACTGCTACACAAGCATTATAGTTAACTGGCAGCTAAGCTGGAGAATGGATTTATTATGTGGGGTCCCAGAACGAGTGTGGCCCTGTGACCATTTTGAGGTCCTGACCCACCAAACCAGACTTTCAGGCTCTGCACCCATTTTTGTGTGTTTTGAAGTCAAAGCCATGAATGTGGTTAAGAGTTAAAGTTTGATGATCTTTTTACCACCTGTGCAGTCACTCTCAACAAGACACACATCAGGAGGTGCATTAACACCTAATGGCAATCACATCTTGGCCTCGGCACTCAATATTCTAAATCCAGTTTGGTTAAATGATTCAAACTAAACGTTTGAATGTATTTATGTTTTAAGTAAAAGTTTGAATCCTGACTTCCAGTTTGTCTTTTCCTGCTCTTGCTGGTGCATTGCTGCACGTCTTGGCTCATAACCAGTGTTAATAGGTCAGTCGGATAGTGTGAAACCATTGGCATGATATTACATTACATGGCCTGTTTGTGTGTGCATGAAAAGATCCAGGTCAACAGAATACATTTAAGAAATCAAAACATTTTGGTTGCTAAATTCAGTGTACTATGGTTGATACACAAAATGTAACTGATGTATTTATTTTTCAGGCTTTTATAAAGCATAATCATTGTTAAAGCTTTGTGACTGGATGTTTGACTGAAATGTGACTGTGTTATACATGTTTCTCTTTTTCACTTTTTTAGGAATTTGTTTTCTTTATGCAGGACTTCCTATTAATAATAATGTTCAGTGTATATATATCAGTATTCTGACTAAGTTCTCGTAAAAAAATAAGACAAAATATCGGAAGTTAGAGACATCTCAGAGGAAAAAAACCCTCCCTCCATTCTCTCTGTAGTGTTGTTGTGAGATTTGTCCTCAAAGGTTTGGAATAACAAAAGCAACCTGACCATCACCGCAGACATAAAAGCGCCTTTAAGTGTACATTTATTTTATTTATTTGCATCGCTACACGGCCTTTAGATGTGGTTTTGATTTTAAAGGATGACAATCTAAAGGAGCCATTAAATACTCGTGTCTCAGCAGTCTATAAGTTGAAATGGGAAATCATGTGGGACCTTTCTATGCTCTTCAAAAACACAGACCACATCAAAAGTGTTGGACACACTGAGAAGGAAAAAAAAAACCCATCTTGAATGAGTGTAAGCCACCCTGACATCAGACGCTTGTGGAGTTAAACCAAACACACACTTTTCCTCTCCGCTCATCGGAGTGAGGGAAGGCTTGCGGGCGGAGCGCCAGGTGCCTCTCGTGTTTGGGAAAGCAAACAGGGCTCGTGTCTTTGATGGCAGGAGATCAGAACAGGGGACACATTCTACGTGGCCACGCTAAGGTCGCCGCAGTGCACACCCGGCTGCCATGTTGTGCTCTGCAGCTAGGAGACCCAGAGTGTACACAAAAGCAAAGGCTGACCCACTCGGTCCAGTCCCCCCCCCCCCCTGATCCCACACCCACTCTGCTGTCCAACAGGCCTCAGGCCAACCCTGACATGCAGTTGTATTCCTCTAAAAAACACAGTTAAACCACTGGAACAGGGCTGGAACACTGACTCAGAGCGTAGTGCAAGAGTTCAGCAGTGGTTGCAGCAGGTTCTTAATTTTCCCTTCACATTTGAAGTGCAAACTGAAATTTGATTTGGATGGAAATGTTCCTGACTAAATTGAAAATACTGTGCATTGATTTCATCTCCCTGACACATGTGGTTTTGTATTATTCTTTTATTAGAATTAGTATGTTTACATTTCACTTGATCAAATCGTAGCTTGCAGTGTTAATGTTAGCAGGACATGCTTTGTCACACTTTTGCATTTTGTTAAGACGGCAAAAACTTTATAGAGCTTTTTTTTGTTTCGCAAGAAGGTTGCAAAAACAAAACCCATAAGCTCTTTGTGGTCAGAAGTTGACTCAGCAACTCTTCTCAAAAGTGTTTTTTGTTTTATTTGATAATAAACTGAATATTCTGAGGATTGGTTTGGCAGAAAAATACCAACCACTACATTTGACAACATCACTTTATTCTCTCTAGTCTGACATTTTCAAAGACATAAACTTGGACTCATTTAGGAAATGCTATTGATATATTGATATTTTTCTTAAAACCCTGATTTAAAACAAAAAAAAAAGTTGAAGAAAAGTTTTACTTTACAAAAACAGCAACACAGTTTTTTTTAATATAAAAAAGAGCTGACACATTAATGATCAAACATGAGGCTTAATCCGACTCACGCTGTTGCATAACATTACGGAAATAAAGTCCAGATCTGATCATTAAATGTCAGTTCCTGTAATTTTATTTCTAGGTTACATTTGTGTCATGCTGTGGTTCAGTTTCTGGCTTACTGACGCTTCCAAAACAATAACCACATGTTTCTTCATTGTAGCTGCTATCATTGTTGCAGGGAACTAAAAGGACATGTTCTTAACTCTGCATGGACTCATTAAAACATCCACACGCAGACAGACGTGCTCATGGTTTGTGTGTCTTTCCCATTAAAGAACATCATCTGTGTTGAACTGTGTTGTTGTTAGTCAGCACTCAGAAATTGTTTCACTGATTAAAATGATGCGACTTAAGCGAGGATGCTTTTAGGTAGCAGAACATTTCACTCAACAGTTATTTTGGCAGATTAAAAGATTGTGTGTGTGTGTTGTGCTTGTGTTTGGAAGTGTGCGTGCTTCCTGTAAGCTGGGGTAAAGCGTGTCTGTGTGTGGCGACAGTGGGTGGGGTAGTCAGTATCTGGTTTCCTGTTTCAGGGGGTCGACTATGTAAATGAGCTGAAGGCCCCAGATTGGTGCTTGCACATACGCATGCACAAGAGTGTGACAGGGCGAGCGCAGATCCTGCAGTTAGCTTTTCCCTCCGCTCTGCTGACAGCTGCAAGCGAGTCCCAAAAAAAGGCTCGCCACAGCTCCTACACCTCCTCATGATGAAGGAGCGCTGCAGCCAGGTGCCACCTTCACCGAGTCCCCATCCTCTTCCTCAGCAGCAGCAGCAGCAGCAGCAGCAGCAGAAAGTGCGGAAGCAGGCGCAGCGCTCGGGCTCCACGTGCGCCGTCTGTTCTGACTGTGTGTCTCTGTGTGCCGACTGCTTGTTGACAGATGAGGCGTACCAGAAGCTGGCCATGGAGACGATGGAGGAGCTGGACTGGTGTCTGGACCAGCTGGAGACCATCCAGACCTACCGCTCTGTCAGCGACATGGCCTCCACCAAGGTAGGAGAGGCGGCATCTTTGTGTTTTTATTTCTATTTTCTTTGTCCAACCAGAGTGGAGAAAAGGGCAAAAGGCAAATTGGAAATGTTTGCACCTAAGTCTGAGCAGCTCTCTGTATTCATAACTCATCACAGTGAACACATGACCAAATCCAGAGATGTTAACATACATGAACTAAGCATGACCTTAGCAAAGTCAAAGTATTAATAGAGTGAACATGTACTGTAGTAAAGAGGAGGCATTAGAGCTGTCAGTGTATAAAGAAAGCTGCTGTTTTTGTATTTATACGACTGGATGTTTCTGCCTCCACCAGATTAAACTTCCACTGATTTCCGCTTGATTTCTTTTGTCTCGGTGTATTCTTAAGACATGAAGTGTTGCTGAGTTGTTTCCACCTGCTGTTGCACTGGTTCTTGTGTTTCTTCCGCTTTGCTGATTGCTTGTGATGTGCATCAAGGTTTAGTTCCTGGTTCTTTAAGCCTCAACCTGAACCACAAAAGATCTCATATTTCTGGTTGCAGACGCACCGGAAGTCAAATACACAAGCCTGTCGTTACAAAAAGATTGATCTATTTTTGTGTTTATTTTATTTTTTAGTTGAGATTAGTTTTGAAAACTGTTTTCTGATGAATGAGGTTTTGTGTTTTATTGAAAAAGAAGCAGCTGTGTGAGGGGTTCTGAAATGTTTGTGAAGTGAGCCAAGAGGATAAGCTTGTTGTTTCTCATAAAACTGGACAACAGGATGTTGGGGATCCCGCAGTGGGTCAAACACAATAAACTAGAGAGGAAGACAGAGAACATTTATGTGTGCTTGAGTGTATGTGTGTGTGTGTCAGATTCATGCAGACCCCTGAGTAGAGTGACTCTCTCTTCCTGTCTCCTTCCTCATCGCCTGCTCTCCCACCAGACGACAATAGACATCCCATCATGCCCATATGGATGGTTAATGGTTGGTTTTATTTATCCTGTTGCTGTCGTCATGTGGATGGTGATCCAACACAACACTGAGCTGGTTTTTGTTTTTAGTCGAGACAAATGAGGTCACCTGAAACAAAGAAAACATACTTTTAACACATTTCAAACGACAGACAGTTGGACATAGATGACCGCAGAATAGAGAGATGGGTTTAAATCAACTGTTATTTGTGGACACGTTGTAATTTTAGCACTTTTGCAATCACAGAAAAACATCCAAAAATCCGGGAATAGGGAAAGGAGAGTTTTATTCTGATTCTTTCAGAGAAAAAAAATACTTATCAAGTGTTCTGCTGCCAACATAATCTGACTGTAACAAAAGGCAGGAGCAACAACACAAGTTGAGAGTTTGACTCAGGCAGGAGGTTGAATTGTTTCCTCCAGGAAATGTCTCAACAATTTCAGGACATTCAGGCCCTGACATTTTCTGGAATCATCTTTTTTACACAAATCCCCGCAAGAAATAGTCCGTGTTGGTTGTGTTGTTACGACTAGATGTTACAGACTATTACCTGCAGCATTCACACGATGGTTCACCCCGACTTCATGCAGACTCTTTGCTCGAAGGCCTGGAGGAAGTGGACATCAGCTGTCTTCACACACTGTATGCAATCCTGGACATTTCTAGAAGATTTTAAGATTTATTGGCAGAATCTTGCTGAGTTATTTGTTCACACATGCACCTTATTATAATAATAATAATAAAGTTTATTTACATAGCGCTTTTCGCAGACGAAGGTCACAAAGTGCTTTACGTCAACAAAAAACAACAACAGCATACATACAATGAAAGAAGACGAAAAGAAAAATGAGTACGTCATGGACGACATTGTAAAATGCTGCTACATTAATGTTTTTAATTGTTTTTCAAAAGACTCAACAGAGTCAGAGAGACGTAGCGAGATGGGTAAAGAATTCTAGAGGATTGGTGCTATGGACTGAAACGCACGATCCCCACGAGTCTTAAAATGTGTCTTACAGCCGGAGAGTGTGTGTGTGTGTGTGTGTGTGTGTTGTGTGTGTGTGTGTGTGTGTGATGTTTAAAAAAAATCTGACAGAAATGTGACTCTTTTTTTTTTTTTTTATGGAGATTTTAAAAATACAAGATGTGACTTTTCTAGAGTGAAGCGGTTAATACAGTCGGGACAATAATCTTGTTGCGTCCCGACTCCCCTCCCACCTTGGGGTGTTTTTCCAGTGTGTCCTCCTTAACACATAGCTATCTCTGGGAATCTCCTCTTGTGTGTGTATAGAGTCTTTTTATGTCTTTGAGTGTGAGTCTGTTTATTAGTATATGCATCAGGTCAATACGGGACACACAAACATTACACAACTGGGCCATCACACTCGACGTGCTTTTATGAACGAGCACATGCGGGTCATCCGCAGTGACCTCCTTACTACCTGTTGTACTTAGGATGGAAAAAACTGTAATTCAAGCCACGGCAGAGTATGAAACATGAGTATGAGTGAAATATGAGTAGCTGCTGCTGTACCTCCAAGGTGAAGTGTAGAGGACTGCTGCTGAGGACTCGCTGTACGTGCCTGTCCTCGCTCCTTATGCACGGCTGACCTCGACGGGTCAAGGTCTGTAGCGAGGTGCAATATTCTTCAGTGTCAAGGATGTAGATGCTTTGTTATTGGAAATCCGGGTGGATATCATAAGTGGAGCAGTAGACTAGTATCGCTCTAATTGTTTGCGTCATTGAAAGAGTAGAAATGAAAAGTATCCACTGATATCAGTTTCTCAAAATGATGAGATCAAGTCAAACGTCCTACTTTGTCAAAACAGGAGTAAGTTTGATGTAGTGTGGACTTCAAACAGACTGTGGAGAAAATGTCTCTTTAAGATGATTCTGATTTTTTTTTTTTAATACATTAAATGGTAACATGTGATTAACATTGTACATGTGACCTTTACAAATTAAAGAAGACAAAATTATGGGCAAGAAGTGTTCACCACTTCTTGTGTTGTTGTTGCTGCAGCTCTATAGACATTCCTTTGTGATAAATATACATCTAACATATCTTTGATGATCTAAACAATTGTTTCAGTCCTCACACATCTGGACTTGAGCTACACACTTGCTGTCCTGTGTCTACAGAACAGAAGTGGGGAGATGCTGGATCCATGTGTCCAGTGTTGGGTTTTATTGAACATTGATTACCTTGATCTGTGTAATCATTTCTGTTATAAACTGAAGGACGCTTGAAAATGAGACTACTCCTCTTGTCTTCCACTAAATAGATTCATTTTTCCAGGGAGAAAAAAAAAGAAGTTACTTTCAGTTCAAGGAAATCCACTGTGTTCCTGAAAACAGGAAGTGTTCCAGTCATCAGAATAAATCAGCAGCACGGTATTGACAGTGTAAACTCTGAAGTCTGAGTGCCGGCTGCACGAGAAGTGAACAGCCAAGTGAGAGGAGCAAGAGGCAGGACTAACCCCCATGTGGGAGTGTGTACTGTATCAGGCAGAGGTCTCTCTCTCTCTTACACACACACGCACTCACTCATTGCTCCACATGCACAGGGTGTGAGGTAAAGCCTAGTCAGACCCTGCAGCCAGAAGTGAGTCACTAGAGCTTCCCGCCGTCAGAGAGCCAAGGCTTGGTCCTTTTACTCATGCTGTAGTCAGAGCGAGACAGAAACTTTTAACGGACAGCAAGCCCCTCTCTCTCTCTGCTCTGCACTCCTCACACACAGCAACATGGGAGCCTGCTGCTTTGACAAGAAGGAGAGGAAACTGGGGAAGCTCAATGGTTGGAGAAAGGTCAGTTTTTTATGGGTTTGCTTTTCGTTCTGAAACTTTGTGACTTTTTTAGAAAATGGATGTCTCCATTGTGTGTGGACTTTGAGTGATAAAGTTTTGTGACAGTCTTATCTTTGTTTCAATTCCAAATGTTGTGATTCTTTTCTTTTTTTAAGTCAAAGATTTAGGGTTTCTTGTTGTTCAGTCATGGAAGGACTTGAGATATTCTACTGCTGCAGATGCTGAATGTGAACTTTATTCTTTGAGAGATCTGAAAGTTTGTTGAACTGTGGGATTCTTTTTGTCTAGTCTGGACTTTGTGCGCTAAACTTTAGTGACTT